TCTGATTTTCAGACTATTTCACATGGGGTACCTCAGGGATCCGTCCTTGGCCCGCCACTCTCCATCATTTATGAGAACGACCTCTTTCACTTTATGTCTCCTCATAAATGTGTTGCGAACGCCGACGACACAACTTTAATCAACACTTCCACTCATGCAAAAAGTCTCTCGAATAGCATGGCCGATTCGTTGAATAGGGCACAAAACTGGTTTAATGCAAACAACCTTAAATTAAATAATAGCAAAACCCAAGAACTGGTCCTTGCTAATGGAATTGCGGGCAGAGAAGAGAGTGTCAAGCTTTTTAGGAATAGTTATCGATGAAAAACTATCATCCCATATTGAGCAGTTATGTCAGAAATTATCCACTTCAATATTTCTGTAGCGCAACATAAAAAATCAACTCTGCGAAAGTACTGTACGATCTTGTTACTTTGCTTTCTTTCATACACACATACATTATGACATACCGTTATGGGGAAACTCTGTTCATTCGTGTGAAGTTTTCAAAATACAAAAACGAGCGATAAGAATTACTACCGGTGCAGGTTACAGGGACCCTTGTTAAAAAATTCCCAAACAACTCTCTATTATGCCTATCTCTTCTCTATTCATCTACTCTACTCTTCTGGAAATTCACAAGAATAAAAGAACTATGTGTGCCAACTCTGATTTTCATGTGTACCAAACTCGTGGAGCAAACGACTTGAGGCCTACCCGATATAGGCTCAACAAATCCCGAATGAATTCATTGAATATTGAAATATATAATTTCATGCCTCAAGAGTTCAAGATTCTCATTGAGACATATGCTGTCCCATTGTTTTTACTCTATTGATGAATATCTGAAAACACCTCCACTTCTCGATAATTTGTGTTGATTACATTCCTAAAACAGCAAAATTTATATTTTAGATTTGTTAGATTTGTGAGAATGTTGTATGTATGTTTGTGATAGCTTAGTGTATATTTCATTCTGTAATTGTTTTTGAAAAACATTTTGTACTTCCAATGACTTGCCAAAAACATGAGAATTGTTACTTGGTCAAATAAAATTCCATTCCATTCTATTCTATATCATTGTTATTGACTGTGATTATCTACCAAACCGAGAGGAATATCTAATTTCTGCAACCGACATAAAAGTCGTCCATTTTAATACCAAAATTAGCTCTCGAATTGACGTTTCTATTACTGACACAAACATAGGTATGTTGCTAGGCAACACATCTAGTTCTTAGGAGCTGAAGTTGAACTTCAGCTCCAAGGAACTGAAAAGGATGTACTAGAGGACATCAAGAATAACCAAATTGTTACGGTTGGTTATTTAGGTTGGGAAGCATATCTGATTTGTTTCTGATTTCGGCAGATTTGGCATTTCAAACCCATGCTGGCGATATAAATGCACCATTTTATAGTTAAATATTTTGGTTTTGATCAGGAAAGCCTTCAAGATTCACAAACTTGCTTGATCAGTATTTCATTCGTTATTCTGGGATGAATTACTTGTTTTTGAATGATCACGGCCAGCAATACTTTTTTGTCTCACACAACGATATTGTTTACCTTAATTTGATTACCGAGCCAAACACAGTGGAGTATGGACTAGTATGGAGAGAAATAAATAATCCTTATCATTATTGTTGATATGCTCACTAACCCAACATTTTCCTATACCTTGCACTGGCGCGGTATTTGCTTTTAGGGTTGACACCTGGTGAAATGGGTCACTATCTGTGGTTGAATTTATATTGAGACTATAATTCGGACATCCTTGAAACTTGAATAAACGTGATGTCTAAATGCAGGTAGAATATTCTCACCACACAGATTATTTGTTTTTGTATCGAATTCGTGCCTGTAGTATCTGATGACATGAATGACATAATACATGTCAACACAAATTGTAATAACGTAAAGTAGTCTGAGATCTAGCTTATATGTCTACTCATGATAATACGGGTATATTATAATAATCTGTCAAGTGAGTCACATTGGTGATTACTTCACATATTTACTTTAGTTAATTCCGTTAATTCTTTCGGCTGCAGAAAAAATATCATGTTTGACTCGCAAACTTTGTTTTCGCTTGGCTTCGCTAGATGTCTAAAACGTTTCATATAGACAATTTGGTTGTCCAACTTGAGCACGACATAAAATCAATCGTTTATCAATTATTTTCCTGATTATTGCGCCTTCGCCATTTCGATCATTCCAAAGACACACAAAATTTAACCTCGATGTTATTGGTATTGCCAACAACTGAAAAACGTTCCATGACTCGGACCCATTCGACATAGTCAATTCGAGTTTTCTATTTTAGAACGACATAAAAACGAAAATGCATTCCAATTTTTATTATAAAAAATATACCACTGCTGTGAACAAGGAACTTTTGGAGGTACATATATTGAAGACTGGAACCTTTGGCACGATAATACACTACACTGTTTCACCACTAACCAAACCGATTTTTTATACGCCTCGACACGTGTTTCGCTAACTATGTTAGCATCTTCAAGAGAAGATCAAAACTAAATATCCTATTGTAGTGTGCTGCTTAGGTATATGTTCACCCAACCGTCAAGTTAATTTTTGTCATGGTTCAGTTCACATGTTAATCATAATCTTTATATTACTAAAATATATAGAGGGCTATATGGAATAGGTCCATTATCCTTATTCATCACTTTATTACTATTCTTGAATATCTCTACCTAAGCTTCAATATGCGTCTAATTTTCTAATATTATTAACTTGCTTAACTAATTTGGGGTTAGTAATATGTGTGTTATGTTTGTGATTGAACATATGTTCGGCTACACAAGATTTATCTAACCTGCCATATTTCAAATCGGCTATGTGTTCTTTGAACCTTGTTTTTATTGGTCACCTGGTTTGGCCTATATATGTTTGGAGGGCACAATATAGATCTAATTAGATGTCAATATAAATCAATACAAGCAGATGTTTCCGAAATCGAAGCAAGAAATAAAATAGAGTATTGTTTGAGACATAAAGACTCAATGAATTTTTTCATGTTTTTTTTTTTTAATGTCTCACCATAGTCACCATACCAAATATTATTTCCACCATTATTATCGATACTGCTGGTTCTATTGACATTCAAACTGTTTACATTTCTATAAGTTCATTTCGAGCTCTTTTGAACTAATAGTGATGAAGGCTGAATTCCATATCCATAGGACGGGGCTACTATATTACTGGAGGCCGATGAAGACATAGTAAAGACGTAGTAAGAGTCCGCAAGTATGAGTATTCTCTTCAAGTTCCCACAATATGAATGGCATTTCAAAGTCACGACAACTAAGAATTACATCATTGAATATTACATCAAATATTTTTCATGAAACAAGCTAAAGAGAGCATAATAATTTCTAGAGAGTAGCTATTCGCAATATTGCCGCGTATACACTATTTAAATATTTCGAGAGGACACTACGTTTGGCAGAGCTGAAATGCTTTGAGATTGTATCTGTACATAGAATCTGTATAATATTTGCGACGATATGTGATAAGATACTATGAGCCATCTCGCGCACTGTAGAGTCCGACCACGATAACTTTGGGACAGCACGTGGTCGCGTATGCATTGAATATGCATATGCGTTGCGTCACATGCTGTCCCAAAGTTAACGCGGTCGGACTCTACCCTCAGACTTCTTTTTCTTCTACCCAGTTGAGGGGGGTTGGGGGAGTGGCGGCCCCTTGAACCATATTCCATATTCCCAGACACTCTGACAATTTTTTATATTCACCTCTCAATTTGGAATGAAGGGTTATACAAGGTGTAAAGAACATAATATGTTTCCATTATAACTATATTATAGTTATCGGTAAAATACTCTTATAACGAATTAACAGTATTTGTGAAATGAAATAAAAATAATGCTTTGCCGTCATTACCCCAGGAATGTGGGGTAATGACGGCAAAGAGAATTTATGCATAAAAATCGCAGATGAATTGGGCCCAACCCGAACACATGATAGGGGGAATCGGGGCGCATATTTATGTTCCCTATACAGCTAGCGCGACAGGTCGCTCTCACGGCATAGGGATTGGAGTGCATAATAGAGAGTTGAAGTGTTGTCATGAACGTTAACGTAAACGTAGAAATTGACAGCTACGCATGCGCATTTTCCAATTCTTCACGTTTGCGTTGTTAGTGGGCTTACGGGTGTACGGTATCTCACGTTCCTTCACGTATACCTTAAATATCAACGTACGTTAACCAAACTATACTCGAAATATGCCGATGAGTCAAAATTATCAAATTCGAGATCACCAACGAGTTCTGCATCAAGGAGTCCTCTAATTTTGACAGGAATGAATGTTCGAAAATAAACACACAACCAAAAATGACCAATACAAACCGAAAACAAAATGTATTATTACGTTATGATGACAGTGGCGACCAAAGTGGCGACTTCATCTCAATTTAACGACAATACGTTAACGTTATTTTTCGTACGTTAACGTCTACGTGGAGGTCTACGTACAGTGATCACTTCAACTCTCTATTACTGGAGCACTCCGTTTCCTATATGCGCGAAGGGCATCGGCGTTCCGGCGTGTCATTGTTTATTGTCATCAGCAGAACGCTGCGAGCAGTTAGTTGCCGAATAACTGTGCTCCCTTTATAACGTACCTATTGAACATTTATTCCTCAGGAAATACTATCAGTGGTGCCAACTTCTTCAAAGAAATGGATGAAGAAAAAGAACGAGATTACTGCAGACTTTGGCGAACCCATGACGTTGGAAACGGAAGATGGCCTTAATGAGACGACTCCTGATGGAGAAAATGATGTTCCCGTTGAAGTGAACGAAACTGAAACTGATGGATCAGTCGAACTCAAAGAATTCAAAGACAACTTGAAAAAAAATTAGCAGCTTTGTGGAATCTCATCCAGCACTATTGCCTATTCTCACGAAGTTCAATAGGCAGATGAAAAAAATGGATAGCGAATCTTTGTTCTATGCTCTATGTTCCTCATTTACTAGTCAAAAAAGGTCTGACAGAATCACATGTTCAACCTACCACTATTGCTAGAAGGACATTTGCTCACAGAGGTGCCAAAGCCATACAAGCGAGTCGGCCATCCAGCAGTGGAATGAAATCGAAAAAGAGACCTCGTAAAAATCGTTCATTAATAGTGAACATCCTACAAAATACCACGAACGCTGTAAGTCATGGTAGTGCGCACTAATAATTATTTTCGATTACTTTCATATTCTTCATAATCAGTGAGGAAAAAAAATGTAATCTGAAACTGAAAAGCATTTCAGATGGTCCGACGATATATTTTGTTTATATTTTTTGTATATAGTTGAATATTCCGCATGATTAAACTTCCGTTTCATTGTCAAATTGTGTCTTCTTCAGACTTTAAATCAGTGTGGAAAACAAAATCTGTAAATAGTCCTGACCCATGCCAGCACCACAGAGCAGTCGTTGGTCATTGGCATATATAGCGCATTTCAGCTAGGAAACAGAGTGCTCCAGAATGCACTCCAATGCCTATGCCGTGAGAGCGACCTATCGCGCTAGCTGTATAGGGAACGTAAATATGCAGTCGGGGCTTTGTCTTTCTAGATGACAACCTAGTTAGGTAGTTAGTAAACAAGAGCTATAATATTGTCTATCCATAGAAAAATAAATTAAAAAAGCTGTCTCAGGCACATCTACGTGAACTAAGTGAACTGAGTTATTCATATTTTACTCTTAACCGAAACATTTTACATGTTCCTGTCAAGTTTGTGAATAAAAATATGTCGTGTTGAGACCAGAAGATGAAACATTATCAGGAAAGATATTATCAAGTATGAAAATCATCTACCTATACTGGAATGGAAGCAGGGAGATGTTTAGGCAATGCTGTATTAGCTTGATTTATGAAAAATACGTTACGGTTTACACTTTTTCGATATGCAAGCCAAGACCTCTTCGCTTTTTTTCCAGTTTTCCACGTTCCTGTTTGCTGTTTGAGAATCGATGTAATCATCTCATCATATTCGAATAATTTCTTGGAGTCGTCAGTAGGGAGTAAATTATTTTTTATTTGGTATATTCGTGATTGAAGATGAACGATTAGAATCGTTCCAAATTTGTGATAACGTTGGTATAATGTTCATGAACACGACAAATATCAGTGTGTATGGATTCTCATGTATTCTACATAGAATATCTTATTATTTTTCAGATGATGTAGAATGCGAGTCTGATCGCGAAATAGCTTGCCCTGCCAAACGGAGGAAACATGATTTTTTCCTGACATTGCCAAATACCGATGAAGACCTCAGTTCGCTGAGTCGATCCAGCAGCCTCTTGCAGTTCGAGAGTTTGGAGAAACAGTGCCAAGAAATATGCAACAGCTCCCCTAGCATATATTCCCAGTACAGTTTCGATTCACTCGACAACAACAATTCGACCTTGAGCCCCAACAGCTTGAACAGTCCGAGTACTGAAGATGAACCCGACTACTACAAAACTCTGAAAATTGATGTGCCGAGAAGGAAGCAAACAAGTCGTGATAGTCTTTTGCAAAACGCTTTAAGATACTCTGGATCTGACTCCAGCGATAGTGACATGACTTTGGACACTTCAAGATCATTTGATAACCTCAAAACTTGGAGGAGCTATGAGAGCTTACCAAACAAGGGTGGGGGTGCTCGAGAGAAGATTTCTGTTGAGAATTTGAGCGAGGATAGTGGGTATGGTGACCATTTGACGAAGTCTTCCAGCACGAACAATTTGAAAGAGAAGCTCCTTTTAGATTTAAGGATGATGAAGAGCTACCCCGAGAAGCGAAATTCATATGTAGGCTTTACTGCCTATGATGGAGAGTATTTGCAAGATGTGAGTAACTTTCGTTTTATTTTTTTTTTCCTTTTTTTTTTGACATATCAACTTTCAAAGGATCAAAAGAAGTGATACCAAAATAGATTCATCAGTGACGTTTAGGGTCTTCTGGAGCTATAAAGGTGTTCCAGTCTTTCTAAGCAAATCAGAAATCTAAGTGAATCCCGAAAAAGAGATAGAGACTTTGTTCTGAAAACGTTCCAGGCATTGGAGGAAGTAGATTTCATCGAAAAATTTAATTTTGTTGATAGATATCGCTTTGAAATTTTTAGGTTCATTGATGGGATAAGTATGTAAACTACCGTGTATTTTCAATATTGTACTGATGAGAATATCCATGATTCGCCTTCATACTAGAACATATCTTATAAAGGTTGTTTCATAAAAAACGCTGCAAGTTTTTTCTTATTTCAAAAAATAGAAACAATATAATGGTTTTAAATGAACAACGAACTGGTGTATTTTTATAAGATGTGTGTTTGAAATTTTTATCCAAAAATTGAGAACAAGGCAGAGGTGCCTCAAATATTTCGAAAATCCATTGTTGCTTTTATTTCTCGATAATACCATACAGTGTGAGTCATTTATAAGGCAACACTCGACTGCACATACACTGTTAATGATATAGAAATCAAAGTGGCACTGGGAATTGAAGTTCAAAGTACAATTTGTGGAATTGTTGTGCCCTATAATCGGTGGACTATTCGTACAAATTATAACTATAATTTTAACAAATCACAACGTTTATATGTTCATACGTCATATCTGGAGTATTTCAATTGTCACTAAATCTTTTCTTGTCAAACATTGAGAGAAACGCCCGTATATATATAGCAGTTACTTTGCCGTTTATTGTCAGAATTCATTGTTTTTTATGGTACTTCATGTGTTCATTATTCAGAAGATGTTATTTTCATCTTATAAACTATTAACTTTTGGAATAAATCATAAAAAATAAAAAATATGTGGAGCTATAAAGTAGATTAAGTACTATTTGAACAAAATCAATAAGTTATTGCTCTTCAACATTTACCACACAGCAAGGGATGTCACAATGAAAATAAACGGTCTTTTTGACAAAAGATATACACAGCAGTTACTTGAAGATAGTCAAATGAGTTCTATCTTGATATTCCAAGAACCAATGTGTCAGGTAGTTTTTTGAAACAGTGCTTGCAAACGCAATAGTTTTTGGAAAAGATTTAATAACTCCTGAATGCAGAAGCAGATTGCAAGAACTTAACGGATTTGTGAAGTCTTATACAACGGGCAAATTCAAATATGTGTGAGATTATACAGAGAGACATACAGAAAGAGTATTTCAAATTGTGCTCCTCAGAAATAGTACACCCTGTGTAGGGCGATATAATTTTAAAAAATGCATTTTGAGTTCTTGTTTGGAGTGCTGATGCTTGCTTTATTTCGATATCATTTACGGTGTATGTATATATGTGCAATTGAGCTTTTCCATATCAATAACTCACTCTGTATTAATGGAATATTATGACTTTGTACCAGAAAAACTAGCTCCCAAACGAATATCGGAATACTCTTCTGCTGTGTATGGTCTTTACAAAGTCATTTGAAGCAGCTCAATCACTAAACAACGCCGTGCGCTGTCTGATGTTCAACTGATTTTGGATGAACTATACCTACATAGGTATCAACACTGTCTTCAGGTGTAATGACTCGTACAATTAACCACAGTGGCTTGAATTACTTATTCACCTCTGAATGCAATGATATCAATTGCATCCGCATGTTTATCAATAAGTTCTACAACATATTCAAATTCAACATTGAAATGAAGTCAGCATGTGAAGTTAGTCCAAGCTTTCAGAAAGTGTCATATCATCATCAGGGAGACTACAAAAAGTCACAACAGGACGTTTCATTGATAGTCAATGAGGAATTGAAGAAAAAATAAAAGGTGGATCAATCAAACGAATTTTTGAATCCGTTTTGAGGTACAAAAACTATTATTATTATCATAGTATTATAGTATTATATAGTATATTCGTGAAATATCTCAAGAATGATTTCATCAGTAGTTTATAGGAAATATCCAGTGACTCGCTACTTATTTCTAGAAAAGAGATATGTCATTCCTCTACCGGCGCCTATAGATTCCTGTAACTATTTTTGATTCACCCTATGTAGATGTGGGTTCACATGGAGAGTGAACGAAACGAATTTGAAAAGAATAATTCTTTACAAAGAATAACAAAGGTATGCCCATCAATGAACTCGAATATTAAGTTGGGTTATTGTGAAAAAAGTGGTTTGTTGCATCGGTACCCAGTCACAACTCTATCTAATCAATCAACTTTCTGTTGAGAAAAATGTTGAAAGACGAAGCCTTACAATGTATTGGAATAGTCATCTCGCTAAATTAACCCTGCGCTAGCCTATTTGCATACTTCTAGGTCGGTTCCGAAGGGCAGGATACGGGCCGGAAGTTAATCTCAACCAACATTTCTCTCAGATTATTCACAAAGGAATAGGTCGCGTGCATTATGACCGACCCTGGAGGCAAAATATTGAAACACAACCTCACTCTTCAGTGAATTATTGAAACACAACCTCACATTTTTATTTGTTTACAGAGGAATCAGAAGATTGAAATAGTTCTTGAAATATTGAAATATTTTGACGTACGAATCGAGTTTCTTGCGCCATTCATTAATTCAAGCATGCCTTCGTATTGTGCTGTTGTACAATGCACAAAAAATGCAGCAAGAGACTAAGGAATATGATTTTTCAGGTAAATAGTAATCTCACATAGTTATCATTATGAAATGTTGCCATTCCTTATTAAAATTCCTTCTGCCTTCTGCCACTTCTGCAATAGGTACAAGCTAATACTAATATATTGAAAATGTCTACAACACACACACGATCGTCAGCATGTCAGACCAGTCATCCCGATTGATTGCATGAATCCAATCTTCTTGCATTATTTCAGAAATTTCAGGTGTATTTCTATTAGCTCCTATTGCAGAAGGAATTCCGATGAGAAATCAGAGAAATAACCAAATTTCAAAAATGAAAACTATATGTGAGTGACTATAGTAGATACTTACTTCTGAATCATAAATCATAATGTACCATCCGGATTCCGCCGGATTCCTTCATCTTCCGCTGCAGTTTTTGTACATTTTACAACAGCACAATGTGATGGCATGAGCGAATTGATGAATAGCGGAAAAATATTATTCGTATGCCAAAATAATCGTGGAAAACTATTTCGATCACTTGTAAACAAATAAGAAAAGTGAGGTTGTGTTTCAATGTTGTGCCTCCAGCGTCGGTCATCTGACAGTTCTTGCACGCAACCCATGCTCTTTGATTGAACCCTTCAGTCTGACACATCAAACAATGATATAACATTTGCATACAATTTTAGTGGGCGACTCTTTAGCCCTTCTCAAAGTTCACATGACATTACGTCATTATGGACAAGATTATATATAATTTCGTATGCCATTCTATGAAGCGATAGATTTCATTATAGTCAATTTGTTATTATTTGCATACGAAGTCATTGTGGCATACCTTGATTTTTATAAAGTGAGGTTTAACTTTTTAAGTACATTAAATTTTCGAAAGTGGAAAATGAAAATTCCAGGAAAATCGAGTGTGAAGATTTCCGTGGGTTTTTGGAGTCGTCAAGCTCGAATCCGGTAATAAGGTACTGATGGCAATTAGGGCCCACCTATAATTTCAAAACTAAATTAATCGTATATTTTGTGATTTCCAAGTACAAATAATCCAGTTTTTCATTAAAATTATTCGTTAGAAAAATTATCATAAATTCAATTATTTATGAAAATAGTTACGTTTTTTTAAACACTGTTTGTCGGTATTGAACCACCGTATTTATAATAAGACTTCAAAATGAACTTACATATTTTCAAATACCGAGCTGCTGGATGTTTTCTTCTATAAACATGTCACGAATAAAACAATCAACAGAATCCGCATCCATATACCATTTGCAACAAAAATCAGGTTGGGCCTTTTTACCCACCCAGGGGGTAATGAAGTTCAGATTTATTTACGACTCATCAAAGAGACAAAATATACCAATTTTTTAATAAATTCCAGGTTTATCATTTCAATCACGTTTAACTAGAACCATGTTCAGAATTCAGGTACCTCCTTTCTCTTCAACGAACCAAATTCAAGGAACATATCATAAACTCATCCAGAATCTCAAGATTCATCAAGAAATATTTTTTTATGACGTTCAAATATAGAACCAGTCAGACGAACTCGACAAACCCAGTCAGCACATCCTTTCGCCGTCATTCTTGAAATATGTGGAACAACTCTTTGCCAAAACCCGCTTGTATATAGATCGGCGGAACTTTGGGATTGCCGAAGGAGAATATTCTCATCAATTAATCCAAAAGTTTGAATGATTACAATACGTATCTCCTTTCCCTATTCTTCCTAGGTACGCACAATGTTCTTCGAACATTATCGAGCGCTCAAAAAGATGAAAAAATGTACAAAATAAAGGCACTCTTCTTCAACAACAAAAAAATGCAACGAGAATATTGTTATCCAGTAAGTTAAGGTTATTTGAGAAGATTATACTCTATATGGCAGTGTCATTAATCGTTTCCTATATACTGCTTCCATGGCTGAATGTAGGTTTTCTTCTGTCCATGTTACTCGATTCCGAGGCATTTTGGTTTAATCTATTGAGAAAAAGATGAATAAATTAGTGAAGTAAGGTACTAAGGCCCACGACACATTCAAGTGGTCTATAATAGCTCCGGCGTATTTCAGGATTGTACCTCCATAATTAGGACATGCTTCCATCAGGGCCGCGATTCTTGACGGTGATAGGGTAAAATGTTTCCTGGGGATCGCTCCCCGATTTGTTTCTATTCCTTCATTTCAAATCAAGAAGTTCGTATTCTTGAGCAAGAGGGAGGGACCGAAAGCATAGCTCCTCGATAGAAGGTGTTGCCAACGGTGGCCACGTG